TCCTGGGTTGTAAACAAGGGACTGAGAAATTCATTATGCATTCTAGATAGCTAATACTGTCTTGTAGAGAGGATTCCCATTTTCAGACTCACTCTCTGCCTATGACATTTTTATTCCTGATTCTGAAAGCTAATCAAAGAGTCCCTGAGAAGTTTCAGTCTCTGGAAAATTCCAAGGAATGTCATTTCATGTACACCATAGACTTTCTGGAAGGGAAGCTACTGAGCATTAGCTCATCAGAAAGAGATAATTCTGCTGTATCCTCTCCATTTTTCTTCCAAAGATTCACAAGCAGACCTGTTTCTAACACAGAATATCCAAGCAGAAGCAGAAATGATAATCATTTAAAATTGGGATCATTTGAGTCTGGCTTATATTTATGATGCTCAAATTAATTTTTTTTTAAAGAGAGAGTGAGGGAGGGAGGAAGGGAAGGAGGGAAGGAAGGAGGGAGGGAGAGAGGGGGGGGGAGAGAGAGAGAGAGAGAGAGAGAGAGAGAGAGAGAGAGAGAATTTTAATATTTATTTTTTAGTTATAGGCGGACACAACATCTTTGTTTGTATGTGGTGCTGAGGATCAACCCCGGGCCGCACACATGCCAGGCGAGCGCACTACAGCTTGAGCCACATCCACAGTCCAAATAAAAACAATTTTGATAAAGAACCTAACCCCCAAACTAGATATTATTGTTGAATACAAATGAAAAACAGTATAGGATTATCATGTAATTGATTATTATTCAAAAGAATACAGAAGTCTTTTACCTGGTAGTCCTAAGTTAAAAGGTAACAAAGATTATTTTTTATATAACTGTGAATTTACATAGTTAATTATAAATAATATTTACCACTCAACAACATTGCTACAAGTTGTTGTTTTATATATAAGGAAATTCATAAAGAAGCCAATAACTTTAGATATTGTGAGAGAAGAGAGACTCTTCTCTCTAGATGGTTGATATAGTCACTATTAAGACCATCAGTTTTTAAATTTTTCTGATTGCAAGTACAATACAGAGAAATACTACTCCTTAGCTTCACTTTTTGAAGACTCCTTAAATATTGAGATTAGTGAATTTAACAGCTGGGATATTTTCAACTACAAGTACATGAAAACCAGGGTAAAAGTGACTTTAACAGTGAGGAATTATTTATCTTAAATGAGTAGTGTAGAGGAAGGGAGTTTCCAAAGTTAGTTAAGTTAGCAGCAAAATATTATCTTCCATTTTGCCACATTCAATAGTCAGCCTTATATTAGCTCATGATCCAAATGGTTCCAAAAGTCCCATGTAACACAATAGCAAACATGAGAGACATTTCTTCCTCTGATCTCTCTGTTCTCCTAGACATCTCGTTTATTATTCAGACCAGGCTTTGAGTAACTTCCAGCTAACCTCCTCTCCAACTCATACTGACCAAGATTAGGTCAAGAGTCCTACTTGCATAGTTAGGCAGAGAGGGGTTGAGACCAACAACATTGGCATAAACAATCAATATTTACCTCCTGGGCTTGAGAGAGCCCAATCTCTACTAAGTGAGGCCCTGCACAAGGGAAAAAATAGAATAAAAACAGGTGTTCTTTCCAGATGACAAAGGAAATGGATTTGGATAGGAAAACAACAGTGTCTCCAAAGTGAACTACTTTATGAGGTAGAAGAAAATAGAAGGATTAGTTCTGCACATAAAGTCAGAAACCTTAGTGGTAAATTTAATAGTGTGATAATTATTAACTCAAAAGATACAATATAGTACTTGAGTCCAACCTACTTACCTTTTAGTTTCTCTTTCCATACAGACTTAAACATGTAATTATACTTGGTTAACCTTTTTTTTTTTTTTTTTTTTTGGTTACTATGACAGTATCCCACTTGCCTTGCATCCCACTGAGACTAGATGAGGAGATATCCATAAAATCCACCTAACATGAGGAAAATGAGAAGGTAAAATTCTATTAAGGTAAATAAACATGAGTTTATACCCATTAGAGAAAGAAACTTGAATAAATTCTTTGTTGAGATGAGATTTTCAAATAAAGAGTTGGAAGGAAAATGAGAAAATGGGATGGGGAAAAGTTACTCAGTAAAACAGAAGGGACAAAAAAGCTACATACTTCAGGAAGAGCTTCTGATCTTACAGAAAAAATTTAAAAAAAAACAAAACTCAGAATGTGAAACTAAAGGGATTGTAGGCAGCATGCAATAAGATATTGATATCTATCAAGAAATTTTTTATTACACACACACACACACACACCAACCTATTTGAAATATTCTTTTAACTTACAAAATGCACTTCAGAATAACCAATCATGGTGTCTGTACAAAAATCTTTAAGTATAAGATTACCTACTAATTTGCCTAATCAAACAACATATTCTAAGATATCACAGGTTGATCATATTCACTGGCTATCCTAGAAATGTATGTCATTAGTTAAAAGGGTGGACTTAGCAAGAATAGGTAGGTATAAGGCATGCTTTTTTTCTGGGATTTTACCATTCCTTAGAAAACTGGAAGCATATGATCTACTTAACTGTCCCCAGAATTATCCAAATTTAACTTGTAAATTATACAAGCTATATAAATTGTGAAATATTTTAATTAAATAAAACTCCAAGTATTTTTATAAACAAACTTAAAGTCATATGTTCATAATATTACAAAATATAGGTAATGTCCCATGTTCAAGACTTCCGGCTCAAAAAATAATAAATGAATACTTTCTGCATTCAATTCATGGTATTTATTCATCCTTTAAGGCCAATTTTAGACCTCCTTAGATGAACAATTATTGCTTTACAACCTCAGTTCACTTGGGTGACCAAAAAACCCATAAATTTTAGATCAATTACTTCCTTATTTACAAGACTTTGCAGCAAGGGACTTTGGAGTTTTTAAAAATTTAATTTCACCCTTAAAGAATAAAAATTTTCCAGCATTAAGAATAAACTAAAGGCTCAACTGCAATTAATTCCAAGCGTATGGTTCTAAAAAGTATTTCTACAGTGGTATGGTTAGTACAGTACTCAGTCTTCCAAGGTGAAAACTTCTAAGGGGACAAATTTGTTATGCTGGTTAAAAATGAGTCTCGGGGCTGGGCTGTAGCTCAGTAGTGAAGTGCTTGCCTCGCATGTGTGAGGCACTGGGTTCGATTCCCAGCACCACATAAAAATAAAATAAAGATACTGTGTGTTAAAAAAAATTTAGAATAAGATTTACTTGTCTTGTGGCTCAGAAAATGATACCACCCTGAACGCGCCCGATCCCGTCTGATCTCGGAAGCTAAGCAGGGTCGGGCCTGGTTAGTACTTGGATGGGAGAAAATGATACTCCAAAGTATGGCACTTTGGCAAGGTAACCACATTGAGCTAAAGGAAATTAGAAGGCCTCAGCAGCAAACTTTCCCTGACTTTTTTCTACCTCTAGGTTCTTATTTCTTTCTCCCCCAGAGCATTCATAAAAATCAGAACTCCTCTTCTGCAAATCTGGTCAAAGAAACTAGATCTCCCATCCCCCAAAGCAAGTGATAAAACCTACAAAGGTCACTTTCTCCACCCTCTCCCCAGAAAACCCTCATTCCAGAGGGGCCCCTCCTTATACCCATATTGAGAAGGAAAGCTACACAAAGTGCCAAGAAGAATCTGGACAGGCCTTGCTAGGTTTCGTCACCTCATTTATTACCATTAAGCCATACACTTCTGTCAAATCACAATTCTACATGGTTGTCCATTCCTTACCAAACCTAAATATAAAAATAGTTTTCCCTGGGTCTTTGGGTATTCATTTCTTAAGGCTCCCATGTAACATAAATTTTTGGTTAAATGAATCTGCTATGTTATGAAAGCATTAGCCATTACCCTTATAATGGGTGACACTTGTAAAAACTTTTGAGTTTAATTTTCCAAAATGAAAGCCACCTAATTTTGCAGTAAATTTTTCTTTTGACAATACATTTATTACTATTCTAGGTTATAACTTACTTGCTTGGAAAAAATATTGATGTGTAACAGATAAAATGGCAATTCAATAGGAATTCAATTGTTCAATAGGAATTACTCAATTTTATTATCTCATTATGTTTTTCAAATGTATGAAAAGATCTTAAAAAGGACTAGAATTTAACCATGTTGACATCTTTACATAAAACACATGCTGTGAAACTGTTAGGAAAATATAATTGTATAACTCATGACATAAAACAGGCAGCTCTAATTTTTGAAAATCATTAGAGGCGCAGGCATTTGCAATATAAAAGGCTATAGCAAACCAGACTACAGTAAATAAAAACAGTTGAAATAATTTGAATTGCAAAATATTTCTAATCTGGCCATGATAAAATGAAAACTCTTAAGAAGACAACAAAACAACAGAGATGAATGCATGGCAATCTTTGAGTGTAGAGCCAAGAATATTAAGGAAGTGAAAATGTACAGACACTAGCAGTTGCAAGATGGGGAGAGGTTACTGGAACAGGGTAAATTCTTAATTAGAGACTCAAGAAGACTTGACTATCGCTCAAAGAATTCACTGATGAAAAAACTACGGCTTCCTTTCCTTTGATATTGCAACAATTTTCCTCTTTGTGAAACTTGGAGATTACTCTTCACAATTCCCCTTAACCAATTACAGAGCTTTAACACTTCTGCCAAAGCTGTAATCAGGTGGGTATAGGGAAAGATTAGGGGGGAAACCAGGAATACTAAAGGGTATCGGATATAGAATATGAAAGAGATTACTGTCAGCAGCGATGTGTCAAAACGGATGAGCAAGTCAGAAGTAGAAGAGCTGAGCAGTGGTGGGGCAGGAGGCAGGGGGGTTCCGGAGGAAAATAGTAAACATGAGGTAGGAATGGAAGATCAGATGTGTGACCCACTATGAAAGGAAGTCTATCAAAAGGAGGCAGCTGGCGGGCAGTCGGCCTGTGGAGCCTTGAGAGTGATTGGGACCAGCCCGCCCTCCCGCCCTACTTTTCCCTCCTGTCGAAGAAGCAGCGACCAGTCACCTGGAGTGTGAGTTCCGGAGGGACTCGATCAAGCGCTGCTTCTGCTGTTGGAGGCTGGTGAGGCCACCGGGAGAACCAGTCGCGGAGGAGGAGGCGCTCTTGGTTAGGGGAAAGAGCCAGCTCATCCTCCTTGGGTCCCCGGGCCCAAGGCCTTAGAAGGCTCTGGCCTGCTTCTCCCAGCTGCTCAACCCGCGCGTTCTCCAGCGACAGAGAAGCGGGCTGAGACGCGAGTGGCCTAAACGCTGGGGGGCCGCATCTTCACTAAGCAAGCCGGGCTCGCGGTCTCCGGGTTCTGGGGGACATGCTATAATGCAGTTAGCTGGAGAGGGGCAACGTGCCGCCCGGGATAGGCAGTCCTACCTTCGCCGCCCAGACGCCCAAACTAGCCAGTCAGGGAGGCTGACCGCCCAGAGCTCCACCACCCTAGCCTTCGTCACCTGCGTGCCCCGCCTCCGCCCGTGCGCCGCGCCCCCTCTGCGTGTCGCGTCATCATTTAGCGCCCCCGCCAGGACGTGAGAGAAGCTACGGCGCAGAACGGTGCGGCGCAGCTCCGGCTCCCCTTTCCCAGTTGCTGGGCGAGAGGTGTCTATGGGGCACCCGCCGCCGCCGCCGATACCGCCACCGCCACCGCCGCCGGGTGCTGCCTCTATGGCGAGGAGGAGGAGGAGGAGCGCCAGCTCAGAGACACAAGTAGATTTAGCGACTGCTGCAGACCTGCGGGGGGAAGGGCGGGCTGGGGAAGTAGAAAGGGGGCGGGAACCATGAACCTGAGAGGGTGCGCGGTGGCGCCTGCTGGAGTCGGCCGGTGGAGGAAAGAGCTTGGTGGCGGGTGAGGGGGGAGGGTAACTGGGGCTGGGGGTATTTTCTAGAGGGTGGCGCGGAGTGATGACGTAACGGCTTTGTACCTGGGGCTTCGATGGGGGACGGAAATTTAGAGTGGAGGGCGGTGGCCTAGATCCTCAGCTCCTGGTGTTTCTTCACGCAGCGTTACTTGGGAGTCAATCTGGCTCCAGTAAATATCAGAATCTTCGCGTTGGCTCTCTGCCAGGGAAAAGAGTTATCTGTGACATGAATGCCTCTGTGCTGTCCTGTTTCTCTGGAAGCCTGTGGAGATGGTACCTACAGTAGTGAGAAGGCCTTTGGTGACTCTTCCTGGCATTTGGAGCAGCATAGAGAGAGAAATGAAGAGAGCAGTGTTTAACTACAGTATCATACCGAAGTGTTTGTGTATCAGGATGGGAGTTTTAAAAGAAGGGCTGTCTTGGATCATTTGTGATTTCTGTTCTTGAGCAGACGTTACATTTGTTATTTCGGAGTAGGACGACACAAGATTCCCCCCTTTGACCTCAGTTCCCCCCCCCCCCCCCAATTTCTGTGAAAAATGAAGGAGCATTTGGGATTTCTCTAAGAATATGTTGGTCCAAATTACCATTGTATACCAGGAACCAGCAACATGAGAGCTATATTTAGCAACGGAAAGTGCTTGGAATTTTAGGAAATTAGAAGTAAATTTAAAATGCAGACATTCTGTTGCCCTTTTTTTCACCTTCCTACAGTTGCAGATATTCAAATGATTTCTGTGGCTGTTACTTTTTTCTCACAACGTATTTTTTAAAAATTAGTTTTGTCCCCTTCAATCTGGATTGAATAAATGCCAATGAAGCAGATTTTGTAATTAAGATTTAAAATGTTTTGTTAATGACAAACAAAAGTAAATGGTACCTTTATCATGGTAGCATCTGATATCATTTTTATTTGGAAATGGATGGCTTCATGAAGTTTTATGCAGAGGATGAATTGAACTCTCTTTTTAACAGAAAGTTTAAAAATATAATTTATGTGTATGATTTAAGGACCCTGGGTAAATAACTGCTTAGGTTTCTACCAGCTCAATTCTATGATTTAGATTTATGATACATCTGGAATTCAGATTTATGATATAGCTAGTTTTTATTTTGGTTTTTTATTTTGACAGGTACATAAATAAAGGACAAAGTATTTTATGAAACAGATCTTCAATCAAATATAACATTTTGATGCTTGGCATCTAGACTCCCTTCTGCCCTCACTATGCCAGCAGCAACTGTAGATCATAGCCAAAGAATTTGTGAAGTTTGGGCTTGTAACCTGGATGAAGAAATGAAGAAAATTCGTCAAGTTATCCGAAAGTATAATTACGTTGCTATGGTATGCCCTTGAACAGATCTTTAAAATGATTGTAATAAAGGGACAGGAGGGATTTTAAGTTTGAATTCAACCCTTTTGGTTGATTTTTAAAGATTAACCATGAAAAAAAAGAAATTACTGGTGCCCTCTCCATCACAAAACCATTAGAAGCATAACTGTAATTTGACAAGTTGGATTTATTACTCGTTGCAGTAAGGGAAACACATTGGGAATCATGGGGTATTTGAGTACGAATATTAAAAGGTCACTATTAAATTTGGTCTTGTGTCAGGGATATTTAGTTAAGGCGTAAGGAAGTAGGGCTTTTTTCTGGATTGGTTGCTGTCTAGAAGGTGCATTATTTCCCTATTTGGGTATTGTCATAAGTCTGACCAGAATGAGGGAAGACTAGAATAAAGGTAAAGCTGCAGAGGAGGAACAATCATGATAAGGCCTAACTTATAGTACCAGATGAACTCTTGGAAGCCAGGGGGTTCCAGGATATTTCTTTCAAACAAATGGAGTCTCCCATTGAATGAAACATTGTTTGTCTGCAATTTTTAAATTATAATCACTGGAACTCCATGAACACACTATATTATTAGCAGCTGTGCTCTCACACATGCTATTCAGTCTGCCTAGATTGTTTATATAGTTAATTGTTTTCTGCTTTGCTATTGTAGTTTTGTGTATCTATTGTAGCTACTCTACTGTTTTCTAGACCTACTAGATTATTAGTTCCATAAAGCGAGAGAGTAGTGTCTTCCTTATGCTTTCAACACCTAGCATAGTATCCAATAATTGGTTGTTGAACTGAACTGAATTTAAAGAAGTTTTAATTTATTTTTTCATATTGGCTTGGTATTTAGTTTTTGTTGTTTGTTAGTCCTAGTTTGAATTTGGATACTAAATGGATATGTTATTTTCTCAGTATTTTAAATATAAACAAAAATAAATCATCTTGTTTGGGTAGAGACAAGATGATTGGTGAAAATACAAATATGTGTACATAGGCAACATTCTATTTAATAAAGATTTATTTGCCCATAATTAGAGTTGAAATTATTTCTTTTGTTGGGGGGATATTTCTTATCCAGTGGAAATTCATAGTGATTTTTTAAATGATAAGGGGTAACAACATTACAGGAGTAATGACATCCACCAGGTGTGGTTGCACACACCTATAATCACAGGGGCTTGGGAAGCAGGAGAATCAGGTTCAAAGCCAGCCTTAGTAACTTAGTGAAGCAATAAGCAACTTAGCAAGACCTTGTCTCAAAATTAAAAATAAAAAGGGATGAGGATGTGGTTTAGTGGTTAAAGCACCCCAAGCTCAATCCCTGGTAGCTAAATAAATAAATAGATGTAATATCCTACAAAAAGGGGTGGGTGGCATACAGTTCTTGACAGATGCTTTCTATGATTGATAGAATGTTCGTTTAGCCAAAGAAATTAGGAGGCTAATGGTGCTTCTAGTGATTTTGGTGTTGACATAAACCTTGTCTCATAGAAACAATTGGAAAATGGTGAATTTTCTACTCCTTAACCAATTCTTCATGCAGCTTGCTTTTAATATTGAAATACTGTGAGCATAGCTTAATATACTCTTTAGGAGACATGAATTAATGTTTTTTCTTCTCTTTTGCATAGAGTAGTAAGTATCATATTTTAAGTAAAAAAAATCATTAAGTGTATAGTTTCATTTCATGGTTCTAAAAATTAGTGTTCTTCCTAGTTAAAAGCATTTAATGTAAACATGTAGAGTATCATCAGTAGTAGGATTCTTTGACTTGCATCAAAAATTATTCTAGGAATTTATGGATTTTGGTTGTTGACATTTAGTAAATAATGAACCCTAAAACTGTTTTACAGGACACCGAATTTCCAGGTGTGGTTGCGAGACCCATTGGAGAATTCAGGAGTAATGCTGACTATCAGTACCAGCTATTGCGATGTAATGTAGACTTGTTAAAGATAATTCAGCTAGGACTGACATTTATGAATGAACAAGGAGAATACCCTCCAGGAACTTCAACTTGGCAGTTTAATTTTAAATTTAATTTGACGTAAGTGGGAACTACATATATAACTCAAGCCTTTTTTATTTGTTTAATTTTAGAAATTGATTTCCTCAGGTATAGTAAAGTTCTGAGTGAATTTTGGTACAGTTATCCTGGAAATACATTGCATTTCAAAAATGTAGGTTTTGTTCTTAATATGAGACCAAAAAAATTCAGATATTAAAGATGTTAAAATTCAGATATTTCAATTTTAAAGATATATTTTAAAAATATGACTACTAGGTTTTTTTGTTTTTTTTTTTTTGTTTTTTTTTTAAAAACCTCGGAAACTGGGTTTTTTGTTGTTGCTGCGGTGGTGGTGGTTGTTAATTTCAGGCTCAGGGTCTCGTGCATGCTAACAAGTGATCTAGCTACTTTCTCAGCTCCAAATCATTGGTATTGAAGATACTTTTTGATAGAAAAAATAATCTTAGGACATTGATTGTACTTTCAAACGTTTTTGTGTGCCATGTGAAATATAGATTTCTATAATATGTATTCTTGTGAAAAGATTTTTATTGCAGTCATACGTACTCTAGTTTGTAAGTAGACATGTCACATGCAGTAAGATATTTCTTGGAAAGTTGGGTGCATTTTCTTTTCAAATCAGTGTTATGGAATGATTATTTTCCCTTGTCATCTCATAGAATCTCTTAATTTGCATAAAGTAGAGCAGTATCCTTAAACCTGGTGACGCTAGTATATCAGAATCTAAATTCTAACTCAATCCCTGGGTCTACACTCAGTTTCTTTAGTTACAATATTTCTATATTATTGACAGAAATAGTCTTGATAGCTGAGAGAAGTTTATAATGTTTTGGGGGCAATGACAGGTTGTTTATAAACTGTTGAGGAAATAAAATGTATTAATGCATTCTAAATGTATTATAGTATTACAGTGTCCTTTTGTTTAATACCCTGTATTTATATGATATGATCTAACGTCTGATTGGAAAAAACAAGTTACTGGGAAGTTAATGGTAGTGCCAATATAAAAATTATTCCTGTTCTTGATTGCATAATGTGCTGTTTAACATATAAGCTAATGAAAAGCAGGCTAATGATTTTAGAGGGTAGTAGTGACAGTAGTATAATAGTGTGGCTTCTCAGTGCATTGTGTTTATTGTGACTCTTCATTTTACTTTATAAGTACTAGTAATATAATAAATATTATATAGTATAATTACAATATACTCTCCAGAACCTTTTAAAGGTT